ATCCTGCACATAATAAAGTTGAGACATCAGTAGGACATTCCGATCGCTTAAACAATGTTAAATCTACAATACGCAAACCACATTCCTTATTAAATAAAAAATGGTTTTCTGAGAATCCCCAGCCAAGTGCAGATACGGACTGTCCTCCATATCGAACTACCGCATCAAATCCTTTATAAAGAAAAACGATTATTAATTATTTTATTGAATGTTTATTTATCATTTTATATATAATATGATTGTGTTAATTACCAAATTTTGGTAAGCAAATTGGTCTGACAAATTTATTAAAGGTAATACTCATAACCAATTTGACTAGCATGATATCGGCGAAATGTGTTTCTCTATTATAATTTGGATGTGGAAAAGTGTCCTCAACAGAAAAGATTATATTTCTTGCATCCCATTTGCACGAATTATGAACACCAACCGATACTTTCATATCATTCATGCTGAAACTATGAATATAACTATACAAATATAACTATACACATTTTTCTTATAAATTTATAATCTATATATATTCGTTATTATATGAAAAATTTTAAATAATATTGTATTAAAAAATTATCAAATTCTTTATCTAAAAGATTAATAAATTTATAAGAATAATAGATCTATGCATATATTTTTTATCATGTAATGTAATTTTCCTAATATTACATATTACCGATATTTAAATATTTACTTATTATTTACTTATTATTTCTTTTAAATTGTTAAATATGAATTTTAATTTTATTTTAAAAATAATACAAAGTTATATTCTTATAATTTTTACGATTATTGTACAATATGTAGATTTAATATGTTACTCAATATATTATTTACTTTGCAAAATTATGTTGCAATTTATATGATAATTTAATAACTACATGTTGCTCAATTTAAAAATTAATTGCTGTGAAAAATATTGATTTTATGTATTATAATTAGTAAATACCCATAAACAGTACAATGGGCTGCTGTTATTACATAACGATCGTTTATAATTGATGCACCACAGATTATTCGTGACCTATTGACGCTTATAATACCAGCCATCCAAGGAAATTCATTTTCAAAAACTTCTCGTCCTCCAATTATTCTGGACGATAAAAATATATTTTTTTTTCCGCATTCTAGAACACAATAATCATAAAAATAAAGAGAATACTTTGATGGCAGTTTATATTATATATTTAATTTTATATTTTTTTAATTTATTAATTTTAACTTTTTATATTAGAATCGTATAATGTTTGAAGCATGGTTTATTTACTTTATTTTAATTTTTATAAATATATACAAAATATACAAAAATATACAGAATATTTGTTAACAATTTTTATAAAAATGAAGATAATTTATAATTTAATTTATTAAGGTACTTAATTTAAGAATTTAGTAGTTAATTTAAGAATTTTATTGTTACTTTTTTCATGATTTACATAAGCTTGGAATTGTCTAAAATTAATTTTACCACAATGTGTGTGATCAGGTCTTTCATGAGATATATTATGTCCATGCACTTGTTCATACCACGATAACGTATTAACATGTCCAAATATTAGACACGATAAATTAATTAATATAAAGTAATGCATCTGTAACATTAAAGAAAAACTTTGCACTTTTATGGAAGGCGTATTTTACTGAACTGACTGCATTTAATAAGTAAGAATTTTAGTATCTAATATTCCAATGTGTGGATAACGGATGTGGTTTATCCGACTAACAATTTTTAGATAAGATAATACTAAGTAAGAATATTAAGTTAGAAAAGTTTTTTCCATTAAAATGTAATGAATATTTTAGATTCAAAATATTTTAATGAATGTTGATAACTTCATGTGATTTTTAATAAACACGCCAGAGTTTTTATTTTATATTTTATAGTGCAATAAAAATATCTTTATTTTATAAATTACATATAACACATATTAGTATATTACAATTTTATATTTTTACATGTATTTTTATATTTTTACATGTATGTATTATATATTATATTAATATGTGTTGATGATAAAAAAAATTATAAAGTGCGTTATGATATTTACAGTTGTTTTACATGCTTTTTGAAAAGTAATTAAGTTACATTATTTAGTAACAAAAATAGTAACTACAATAAAGTATTAATATATGCAATAATGTTTTTATAATGTCATTAAAAGTTTGTATCTGTATTATTTTGTACAATAGCATGCATCTTTAGTATGTTGTAATATCCAGTCGAGATGTGGTCCCACTCTTGTAAAAACAGTTGGCCTAGGAGTATCGTCACACTTATTTATGCTTGGAATAATTCCTATAAAATGTTTAATATAAATGCATTTTGATAATTTGATTTTAAGAATTAATAATTTACAGATGTAAGATTATAAGATAAAAATGAATTGATGTTTATTACGCTTTATTAGATAATTTTATTTTTATTAATAAAAATTTGAATTGCAGATATTTGTAATTACTTAAATATTAAATTAATTTTAATGTAATTTAAATAAATTTTAAATATGATGAATATACAAATAATGATATTTACCAATAAGATCGTAAATTCCGCTATATGATCGGTATTGCAAAGGAGATCCGAGATCATCCTATAAATTTACGATATTAAATACATATAATGTATAATTTTTGATAAAAATCCTATATCCTAAAGTTAAGATAAGTTAACTTTACTTCATTCTAAAAGTTTTTTAATATACTTAAAATACATTTTGTAAATTTATGAATGCCATTATTTACTGGTTGTATTACAAAGTTAGAATATGATGTGCATACAATTCACTTACCGCACATATCAAAGAATTTGTTCCCACAATCCCGACGCATCCGTAATCATTGTTGAGACGTATTGGGTCTATTCCTGATTTAATACATTCATTGTATCCGAGAATAGGAAGGCCTAATTTTCGAGGTCTGCATGCTCGAACGTCACCCATATCTTTGTACGTGCTCCATCCTACTAAAGTTCCAACTTGACCGAGATAAGTTGAGCCTAGAATTCATAAGATTAGATTCAGATTCTGCAGCTTATTATCGTTATTCGGTAAACTTGTGATAAAAAAAGTTATGAGAAACAACCTGGATTGGGTAGGCATACTGGAGATATTCTTTTTTCGAATTTAGTTGGTCGACTCAAACGAATTAGAGCTAGATCATGAGCATCCGACTCTGGATTGAATTCCGGATGCAAAGTCACAGCTTCGACGCTGACATTTACCGACGAGATATCCAAAGTACATCGATCGTGTTCTCCCAATGATATTTTTATTTCATGTGCTGTTGCTCTGTACAAAAAATTTGATTATATT